TCTTAAAGCAAAACAAAACAAAACCAAACAAAACAAAGCGAAACAGTCACTTGTAAGCATGCAAGTGACTTAAGGAAAATGGCATCTTTGTGTCGCAGCATGTGCTTGCAAGCCATAGTGCTTCACTAGCATAATACATCCCAGGTCAAGAAGTGGGTTTTTCATCAATTTTCTAAGCTGGTGTAGAAGTTTTAAATGCAAATCTTCACAGAGTATTGAGCAAACTAATCTTCTAATTTATGTTAGTGAGTCAGGAGAGCAGCTCATTTAAAGTCTCTGATTTCTTAATTTCTTCCCATTGCATCTATTAAACCATGCCATAGTTCTGTCAGCAACTTTGAATGAAGGAGAAATTGATCTTTTCAGACATCCTAATGGAAGCTTCTGTATTTTTTTGTAATAGTGTTTATCTTATTAAGATTTGGCTGATAATGTCTTCCACTAAGAATTTTGGAAGGAAAAACAATCTAATGAACTAAACTCACTCAGTTTCCTACTATAAAATGGGGTTCATCCTTGCAGGACCATGGTGAGGACTGTGGGAGTGCTCATGGGAAGTGGTTAGAACAGGGACCCAGGTCATGGTATATGTAATATGAATGTTTGCATGCAAAACATGGGTTTCCACAAGCTACTGAGCTGTGAAGCCAATGTTTGGAGTGGTAAATTGCATTAGAAGAACTACATGGCATGCGATCCAATGAGTTGGAACGTACCAGGATACATGGTGTCTGTGCAGGGTACTACTATTGGCTATCCTTTTGGTTCTATGTTTTGGGGTGTGTGTGTGAGTGTGTGAGTGTGTGTGTGTGTGTGTGTGTGTAATGGCACACATTGCAAAATGTGCTGCTCATTTAGGTAGTGAATAAGGGTTAAACTAAGCCTCTGCTGAGGATGCAGAGCAAGAAAATCCATGTTTCTGAGTGCAGACCCATTTGTGAGGAGACCCAGAGTGGACCTGAAGGCACAGGCGAGCTTGGGCTGAACAAAAATGTGCTTCCCTTGCAGCGGGAGACCAAAGGGCAGTTTCTTATCGACTACATATGCAACTACTACAGCCTGCTGGAGAAGGACTACTTTGGCATTCGCTATGTGGACCCAGAGAAGCAGCGGGTAAGAGTCAACCTCATCTCCGTCTTCTGTGTGGGGAAGGAATCAGGATATAGGGTACAGTGGGCTCCCCCTGAAGCCCTTTTGGTGCCCTTGTTCTAGAACACATGCCAGCCGGTGGGTAGGTGAATAGAGACACAGGACTAGGATGCTCCTCACTGGGCTTGGTGGAGCAGAAGAAGGACAAGTCACTTTTGGCCTTTCTAGAAAGCTGCTTTCAGCTGGAGCTAAAAGAGGAGGTTTCTAAGCCTTTTCTGGACTCCACAGTTCGCAGAGCACTTCCAACATTCACATCTTACCAGATATCCAGACAGGCATAAAATCTAATTATAGAGAGTCCACACTGCTCACTACAATGAGCCAGTGCTGGAGAGGAGCATGAGGGGTGAGTGCCTAATGGGTCTAGGGCTTTTTTTGGGGGATGAAGAAAATCTTTGGAACTTGGCACTGGTGGTGGCTGTACGATAGTGTGAATGTACGAAATACCACTGAAGTGCACATTTTAGATGGCTGAATTATGTAGATTTCACCTCCGTTTACAAAAGCTTTTGACAGATAAAGAGTTAAATCATTCTGGAAGCTTCTCCTTAGACACCAGGAACTTTGTTTTGTTTTGT